GCAGTCCTAATAACATAAGTAAAAATCAGTTCAAATACGTCATCTATAAAAAATATTTATGGGAAAGAAAAATACCCAAATTATGTAGTTTTTCTCTTATAACCGGAAGTTGTCGTTTTTGTTTCCGGTGGGACTGACATATTTCAAAACTACAAATGAGATTCAATAACGTGATGCAAAAAAAGATTCAAAAAAGAAAAGTTGAAATTTTCGATTTCTATTATCACTTCCTGTGACAACCGGAAGTGACGGCTGACGCTCTTAACCCAAATGGTTTTGCCTACTCCTCAAGATCTATTAACCATTAGAGTTTGGTGTCTTAATCTCTTACCGTTTCTGAGATATGACTGGGACAAAATATTTTTTAAAAAGACGGAAATCGGAGATATCTGACGACCGGAAGTGAATTTTGAAAAAATGAAAAAAACGCCTGGGGGTATTTTCATTCTCTATCATTCCTGAAAATTTCAAGAAAATCCGTCCAGCCATCTCTGAGAAATCGCTCCGACAAGAAAAGGGGAAAAAAAAAATAATAATAAAAAGAAACAGTAGAATCACTATAAGGTCTTCCGTCTGAAACGGAAGACCTTAATAACAGAATGCGTGTAAGGTTCACGTCAAAACATGGCTGACGCAAAACAATTCCTGAATTTTCCCCTTTCAATTCGAGCATTTCTTCATTGGACAGGGCTGATGGTTGTTTATGAGATGATAAACTATGTGTAAACTTTCTTAGTTTAGCGGAATCATGAACATTTACGGCCTGATGAATAATTTGTTTACAGTAGTGATGAGGCTTTCGCGCACCTGCAGGAGCGGATCCAAGGATTTACAAATTAATAAAATTTAATAGAAATGAAGTTTTAATACTTTTAAATATTATTTAATGAAATTATTAATATGCAAGTAATAGATAGACAAGAAAACGCGAAATGCTTATGAATGCAGCTGACAATCACTACTTTCTAAAGATAAATTAATCCTAAATAAAATAATTATAAATTCTATAGACAAAACAGAAGAAGAATGAATGGTAGCAAAATATCAAATCACATCAGGGGAACTGAATTTTATTAATGAAACTCTTAAGAAGTTTCTTATAAGTTGTATATTATATATCTGCCTATTCCACCTGGCTGCTTCGGGGAAGGGGGGAGGGGGGTCTTGAACATAAACATGTAAATAATCATTATTTTGTCGAAAGAATTAAGCCTTATAATTTTGAAAACTACAAGAAATGTTGCTTGTGATATGAAGGTCAAGGTCATTTTATTAAGAATCCAAAACATAAAAGCGAAAAAGAGAAAAAAGGGCGGGGGGGGGGGGGTCGGTAAAGATGACAATGTCTTCTACAGTTGACAAAAAAGAGGAGCGAATAAAATGCGCACACATATCATATACAACCGTTTTTATTTAATATAAACTCGTTTCCATGGCAACAGGAAGGTTTTTCTGGCTTATCCCAATCACCAGGTAGGTGTTACCTCTACACCTCCTCGTACGTAAATGAGCGCTCAGCAGTCCCCGCAAACTATATATACGGGGGGAAAATCAATATTTTGTAGTGTTTAAGAAACGTTGGTCCTACGTTTTTGGAAATTCTAAGATATTTAAAGATATTTAATTCCTTCTTAATCCTATCAAGAAATTGGTAATACGTAAAATCTTCAAAGAGGGGCCTTTACATACCCTATGAATATTACAGAAAAAAGAAGTTAGAAAGACGAAGAAATTGAAAAACTCGACTTTTTAATCCAATTTCTGTGACGACCGGAAGTATTGACGACGGAAAGAATATTCATGGTGACATCTACAAGTCATTATCTATGATATCTGACAGAGTTAACTTTCATATCTTAAACTGTTCTGGAGAAATGGAGCGGACAAAGGTCCTTTACAAAATTTCGTCTATACAATAATATTAAGAATACTAGAAACTCATTACTAGTAATGAGAAGGTCTTCCGTTTACTACTTCCTGTTTGCATGAACATGTCTTTTCTACGTCGGTATTAGCCTAAAACTGATTTAGAAACAAAATAACTTTAAAAAACTACTTATTTGCTTCGTTTCCTGTCACGACTGGAAGTGATGACGACACACGATTTTTACACGATGCAAATGAACTGATGACTGACTATAAGTCCTGAAAGTTTTAGACTTCAGTCCTTTACTCTTACCAAGCAATTGTGAGAACACATTCTAATTTTGGAGACAGGAAAACACACGACCGGAAGTGAATTGAATAAAAATCTTTGAATTTTCTCATGACATTTGTAGTATCTACAGCATATGTATAAAAAAGCATTTCAAATACTTATCTTTAAGTGATATTTATGAGAAAGCTAAACATCGAAATAACGTAGTTTATCTCTTTAAACCGGAAGTTTACAGTTTTTGTTTCCGGTGGAATCTAACATATTTCAAAACACGAAAGAGATGCAACAAAGTGATGCAAGTTATAATTTTATAAAGAAAAGTTGAAATTTTCGATTTTTTGATCACTTCCTGTGACGACCGGAAGTGACGGCTGACGCGTCTAACCCTATGTGTTTTGCCTACTCCTCAAGGTCTATTACTCATTCAAGTTTGGTGTCTTAATCTCATGCCGTTTCCGAGATCTCGCTGAGATAACTTTTCATTTTGAGGACAGGAAAAACACGCGACCGGAAGTGAATTTTACTAAAATTTTTGACGTTACTCTAGACATTTGCAGTCTGAATAACATATCTAGAAATCTTTTCAAATACTTTATCTACAAAAGATATTTAAGGGAAAGTAAAATACTCAAATTATGTAGTTTTCCTCTTCTAACCGGAAGTTGTCGTTTTTGTTTCCGGTGGGACTGACATATTTCGAAACTACACATAAGATGCAATAATGTGATGCAAAAAAAAATTCAAAAAAGAAAAGTTGAAATTTTCGATTTCTTTGATCACTTCCTGTGACGACCGGAAGTGACGGCTGACACGCTTAACCCAAATGGGCTCGCCTACTCCTCATGATCTATTACTCGTATAAGTTTGGTGTCTTAATCTCTAACCGTTTCTGAGATCTCACTCGGAAAAAATATTTTTGAAAAAAACGGAAATCGGACATATCTGACGACCGGAAGTGAATTTTGAAAAAATGAAAAAAACGCCTCGAGGTATTTTCATTCTCTATCAACCCTGAAAATTTCAGGAAAATCCGTCCAGTCATCTCTGAGAAATCCTGCCGACAAAAAAAGGGGAAAAAAATAATAATAATAATAATAATAATAATAACTAGAAACTCATTACTAGTAATGAGAAGGTCTTCCGTTATACTACTTCCTGTTTGCATGAACATGTCTTTTCCAACGTCGGTATAAGCCTCAAACTGATGTAGAAACAAAATAACTTTAAAAAAATACTTTTTTTGCTTCATTTCCTGTCACAACCGGAAGTAATGACGACAGACGATTTTTACACGATGCAAATGAACTGATGACTGACTATAAGTCCTGAAAGTTTTAGACTTCAGTCCTTTACTCTTACCAAGCAATTCTGAGAACACATTCTAATTTTTGGGACAGGAAAACACACGACCGGAAGTAAATTGAATAAAAATCTCTTAATTTTTCTCATGACATTTGTAGTATCTACAGGATATGTAAAAATAAAAAAAAACATTTCAAATCTGTAAGTGATATTTATGAGAAAGCTTAACATCGAAATAACGTAGTTTATCTCTTTAAACCGGAAGTTTACAGTTTTTGTTTCCGGTGGAATCTAACATATTTCAAAACACGATAGAGATGCAACAAAGTGATGCAAGTTTTAATTTTATAAAGAAAAGTTGAAATTTTCGATTTTTTTATCACTTCCTGTGACGACCGGAAGTGACGGCTGACGCGTCTAACCCTATGTGTTTTGCCAACTCCTCGAGGTCTATTACTCCTATAAGTTTGGTGTCTTAATCTCATGCCGTTTCCGAGATCTCGATGGGATTACTTTTCATTTTGAGGACAGGAAAAACACGCGACCTGAAGTGAATTTTACTAAGATTTTTGACGTTACTCTAGACATTTGCAGTCTGAATAACATATCTAAAAATCTTTTTAAATACTTTATCTATAAAAGATATTTAAGGGAAAGTAAAATACTCAAATTATGTAGTTTTCCTCTTATAACCGGAAGTTGTCGTTTTTGTTTCCGGTGGGACTGATATATTTCGAAACTACACATGAGATGCAATAATGTGATGCAAAAAAAAATTCAAAAAAGAAAAGTTGAAATTTTCGATTTCTTTGATCACTTCCTGTGACGACCGGAAGTGACGGCTGACACGCTTAACCCAAATGGGCTCGCCTACTCCTCATGATCTATTACTCGTATAAGTTTGGTGTCTTAATCTCTTACCGTTTCTGAGATCTCACTCGGAAAAAATATTTTTGAAAAAAACGGAAATCGGACATATCTGACGACCGGAAGTGAATTTTGAAAAAATGAAAAAAACGCCTCGGGGTATTTTCATTCTCTATCAACCCTGAAAATTTCAGGAAAATCCATCCAGTCATCTCTGAGAAATCCTGCCGACAAAAAAAGGGGAAAAAAAAAATAATAATAATAATAATAATAATAATAATAATAAACAGTACAATCACTATAAGGTCTTCCGTCTGGAACGGAAGACCTTAATAATAAACAGTACAATCACTATAAGGTCTTCCGTCTGGAACGGAAGACCTTAATAATAAGAAACAGTAGAATCACTATAAGGTCTTCCGTGAAGACGGAAGACCTTAATAATAAGAAACAGTAGAATCACTATAGGTCTTCCGTTGAAAACGGAAGACCTAATAAGAAACAAAGTAAAAACAATATGTTCCCCAACTTCGTTTGGGGAACATAAATATCGTATTGTATCGAAATATTTTGGTCAATACACAGCCTAGTCCCCATCTGATTTTAAACTCCAGTTTGAACAAAATGTACCGGTACAAACCTTTGAACTTGAAATTGGTAAACTATACCTGTTTAGCTATTTTATGGGTGTCCTCTTCTGGAATCAGTTGTTGGTACAAATTAGGTTTTAACCAATATTTGGAGTTGACCTTGACCTAAATGGTGCTTTTCGATCTTCGAATAAGAAGAAACAATACATGATTAGCAATACAAATAGAAACTTGTATGATTATCATCTTGTTACTTTATCTATGTAAATTAAAAAATTATGAAATTCAATGCAAGTTGTTAACTTCATTACAAACATTATTTGTTATATCTGCTAAGTTCACAATGTGATTTAAAGCCAAGGGCAATGAAAATCAATTCACTATAAGCATCAATTCATTGTAAGCATGTTCACATTAACCGTGTTTTACTGTACTGACCTTTGGACTTGAAACTGGTGCATTAATTCATTATCTTTTATCTCGCAAATCCAATACACAGAGTGGTTTCTTTCAAGCTGACATCAGTCTTGGCCTTTGATCTTTGACCTTGACATTGGAAAACATAAAATATATCTGTATAAGTAATTCCATGTATGATTGCTGGTTTCCTTTTCATTAAAACAAACAGAAAGTATATATAGACAATTATAAATTTGAAATGCTTGTAAATGAAGTGTACCACTTTCAGCTGCACATTCCTAATTCTGCAAAATGGTTTTCCATACTCATAGTCCCCAGTCAGCTGAGCATGCGTCAATCTAAAATACTATTAATATTTAATACATTTTTAATATACATGCATTAGTCATATATATATATATGTGTATCTACAAATAATATAAAAGAATACATGTACATGTATATTTAAATTTTCAAGAAACTATATTTTTTTTCAATACAAGAAGTTACACAAACATTGTTTGCTACTAATTACCTTTTTTTAAATTAATATGAATACATGTATTAAAAGCATCTTTTCATAAAAAGACATAATTAGAATTCAAGTTTAATGTATTTGCCCAAAATTACAAGAATTAAAAGAAAACCTACCTATACATGTCTATCACCAGTCTTGGCCGGTATGGATCTGCAGTTTAATATGTTGATGGTTCAGTACACACAAATTACTGTTACGTGGTACTAAAAAGAAAAAAAATGTACATAAATGATACGTTTAATTTAAATTGCAAAAATATAATGCAGTAGGTGTTGTAATTTATCTGTATAGAGCAGGATGAAGCCCCCTTCCAATTTAGCCCCAGAGTTCTATAATTGAATGAAAGTATTAAGCAAATTTCTCTTGAATGTATTGTAAAACAACTTGATTCTAAATGCAAATGAAATAACATATTTCTTCATGTTCTTAACTGCATAGAAAATTAAAGAGCCATTTATCTTAATTGTATAACAAATGTGTCGATAGACAAATTCGAATTTCCTCGATGAAAACTGCAGAATGTCTTCGATTGTTGGAATGCTGTTCATATGATTTACTCCAAAGAAGCATTACGTTATACATACATGTTTAGAACAGCAAACTAAGCTATTCATAAAGATTTATAAGGGAAAAATCACCTGAACTTACCTTACTTGTCAGCTGAGACGAACGGGGAGGCTAGAAACCCCAATACACATTTTAGCGGTTTTTCGGTGTTAGGGAAGCGCTTACAGATTATCATACTAAAGCGAATCATGACTGCGTTTGGAAGTCACATATCCTGGCGCAATGCAATCTTGACTGCGTTTGAAGAAATACATCCTGACTTGCCCAGGATTGACGCTTGAATAAAATCATGACTGCGTTTGGAAGTCATACATCCTGGCGCAATGTTATCCTGACTAGGCCAGGATTGACGCTTGAAGAAATCATGACTGCGTTTGAAGAAATACATCCTGACTTGGCCAGAATTGACGCTTGAAGAAATCTTGACTGCGTTTGGAAGTAATATATCCTGGCGCAATGCAATCCTGGCTGACCAAGATAGGATGGTCATATGTTGTCAATCCTGACTTGGTCAACATTGAATCATGACCTGGCCAAGATAGGATGACCATGTTATCAATCCTGACTTGGTCAAGATTAAATCATGACCCGGCCAAGATAGGTTAGTCATATGGAAAGCCATAGGGGACCCCCATGTCATGTTCTATATATTTCATTGTAAATCAATCCTGGCCGGTCAGGATATTAATCATGACCATGTCAAGATTTCAAACATGACCAAGCCATGATTTTTATCATCTTGACCAAGTCAGGATTGATAACATGGCCATTCTATCTTGGCCAAGTCAAGATTTATAACATGGCCATGCTATCTTGGCCAAGTCAGGATTGATAACATGGCCATCCTATCTTGGCCGGTTATCATATAACATGGCCATGCTATCTTGGCCAAGTCAGGATTGATAACATGGCCATCCTATCTTGGCCGGTCATCATATAACATGGCCATCCTATCTTGGCCAAGTCAAGATTTATAACATGGCCATGCTATCTTGACCAAGTCAGGATTGATAACATGACCATCCCATCCTGGCCAAGTCAAGATAACATGACCATATGGAAAGCCATAGGGGACCCCCATGTCATGTTCTATATGTTCCATTGTAAATCAATCCTGGCCGGTCAGGATATTAATCATGACCATGTCAAGATTTCAAACATGACCAAGCCATGATTTTTATCATCTTGACCAAGTCAGGATTGATAACATGACCAACCTATCTTGGGCAAGTCAAGATTTATAACATGGCCATGCTATCTTGGCCAAGTCAGGATTGATAACATGGCCATCCTATCTTAGCCGTGGTCATCATATAACATGACCAACCTATCTTGGCCAAGTCAAGATTTATAACATGGCCATGCTATCTTGGCCAAGTCAGGATTGATAACATGGCCATCCTATCTTGGCCGGTTATCATATAACATGGCCATGCTATCTTGGCCAAGTCAGGATTGATAACATGGCCATCCTATCTTGGCCGGTCATCATATAACATGGCCATCCTATCTTGGCCAAGTCAAGATTTATAACATGGCCATGCTATCTTGACCAAGTCAGGATTGATAACATGACCATCCCATCCTGGCCAAGTCAAGATAACATGACCACCCTATCTTGACCAGGTCATGATTTAATCTTGACCAAGTCAGGATTGATAACATGGTCATCCTATCTTGGCCGGGTCATGATTCAATGTTGACCAAGTCAGGATTGACAACATATGCCCATCCTATCTTGGTCGGCCAGGATTGCATTGCGCCAGGATATATTACTTCCAAACGCAGCCAAGATTTCTTCAAGCGTCAATCCTGGCCAAGTCAGGATGTATTTCTTCAAACGCAGCCAAGATTTCTTCAAGCGTCAATCCTGGCCTTGCGCCAGGATGTATGACTTCCAAACGCAGTCATGATTTATTCAAGCGTCAATCCTGGACAAGTCATGATGTATTTCTTCAAACGCAGTCAAGATTTGAAGTCATGATTGCATTGCGCCAGGATGTATGACTTCCAAGCACAGTCATGATTCGCTTTAGTATGATAATATGTAAGCGCTTCCCTAACACTGAAAAACCGCTAAAATGTGTATTGGGTTTCCAGCCTTCCCGTTCATCTCAGCTGGCAAGTAAGGTAAGTTCAGTGATTTTTCCATTATAAATCTTTATGAATAGCTTAGTTTGCTGTTCTAAATATTTATTTTACGCAGTGGTTATTTGGAATAAATCGTATGAACAGCATATTCCAACAATCTAAGACATTCAGCAGATTTCATCGAGGAAATTCGAATTTGTCTATCGACACGTTTGTTACACAATTAAAATAAACGGCTCTTTAATTTTTTTATGCAGTTACGAACATAAAGAAATATGGTATTTTAGTTGCATTTAGAATCAAGTTGTTTTACAATACATTCCAAAGAAATTTGTTTACTCTCATTCAAATATATAGAACTTTGGGGCTAAATTGGAAGGGGGGCTTCATCCTGCTATATACGGATAAATTACAACACTTACTGCATTATATTTTTGCAATTTAAAATTTAAACATATCATTTAATATATACATTTTTTTTCTTTTTAGTACCAAGTAACAGCTAGTGATTTGTGTGTACTGAACCATCAACATATTAAACTGTCCAAGACTGGTGATAGATATGTAGGTAGGTTTTCCTTTACTTCATGTAATTTTGGGCAAATACATTAATCTTGAATTTTATAATTATGTCTTTTTATGAAAAGATGCTTTTAATACATGTATTCATATTAATTAAAAAAATAATTATAGTAGCAAACAATGTTTGTGCAATTTCTTGTATTGAAAAAAATATAGTTTCTTGAAAATTTAAATATACATGTACATGTATCCTTTTATATTATTTGCAGATACACATATATATGACTTATGCATGTATATTACAAATGTATTAATTATTAATAGTATTTTAGATTGACGCATGCTGACTGGGGATTATGAGTATGGATAACCATTTTGCAGAATTAGGAATGTGCAGCTGAAAGTGGTACACTTCATTTACAAGCATTTCAAATTTATAATTGTTTTAACAAAAAGGAAACCAGCAATCATACATAATGGAATTACTTATACAGATATATATGTTTTCCAATGTCAAGGTCAAAGACCAAAGGCCAAGACTGATGTCAGCTTGAAAGAAACTACTCTGTGTATTGGATTTGCAAGATAAAAGATGATGAATTAAAGCACCAGTTTCAAGTCCAAAGGTCAGTACAGTAAAACACGGTTAATGTGAACATGCTTACAATGAATTGATGCTTACAGCGAATTGATTTTCATTGTCCTTGGCTTTAAATCACATTGTGAACTTAGCAGATATAACAAATAATGTTTGTAATGAAGTTAACAACTTGCATTGAATTTCATAATTTTTTAATTTATATATAAAGTTACAAGATGATAATCACAGAAGTTTCTATTTATATTGCTAATCATGTATTGTTTCTTCTTATTCGAAGATCAAAAAGCACCATTTAGGTCAAGGTCAACTCCAAATATTGGTTAAAACCTAATTTGTACCAACAACTGAATCAAGAAGAGGGCAGTCTTGATAGGACACCCATAAAAGAGCTAAACAGGTATAGTTTACCAATTCCAAGTTCAAAGGTCTGTACATTTTGTTTAAATTGAAGTTTAAAATCAGATGGGGACCAAAATATTTTAAGAGAAAACGTTTTTGAAATATTTTTAGTCAATTCTTGCTCTAAACTTTGAAATATGCACTGAAGTGAGTTAATTTTTTTTTCAGAGCTTGGCAATAAATGACACCTCTACCAGTTGCAGAATCACCGCTCATGTATTGAGAGTATTTTTTGTTTGGCCTACACAGATGTTGAGATGTGTAAAGAAAGAGATCTTCACTGAATTATTTTTACATAGAAATGATAGAATTTAATCTTCTCAGATTAAGCTGTAAGCTCAAGAGAGCTTTTCTGATCATCCATTGTGCAGCATCTGTTTGTCTATAAACTGTAATCATTTCAGACTTCTTCTTGAGAACCACTGGTTCCCCCTTCCAAGAGGAGATTATCAAGAAGGGCAAAAATGGGTTGGGGGAAGGGATTATTTAAAAATCTTTGGAAGAACCTCTTGGCCAAATAGATGAAAGGTTTATGACAAAGGATAGTGTGAATTCTAAATTTTTCAAATTGTGGCGACCATGGGTAGGCTACAATTGATCATTGATTAATGAAGTTAAGAGAGTCTTACACGTGTTCGTGCTTTCAATCACATTTCGCTTTCGCACAGCTTCCTCCATGGTTAAATTTTCAAATGTGGAGAACCCTGGGTAGTGTAGGTCCAAGATGGGGATCTAACTTCAACATGGAAATATACAGGAATTTAAAGTTTTTTGATGTAGCATAGATTTTAAATTGATCATTAAATCAAAGCACAAAGGGGTATGTTGGGACTAAAATAGAAGGTCAGTTTTACATAGTAATTGATTAGTCGAGCATCCTCAGGGTAGTGCAAAATTAACTTCGCTTGAATCTTGACCCTTAGGGTGGAATCATAATGGGGGATCCAAGTTTTGCTGGGGAATAAAGAAAAAAATCTTGAACAATATTCTTTTCAAGAACAGTAGGGCCAAGACTTATCATGATGCATTTGGCCAAGTGTAAAAACTATACAGGGGCTAATTGTTTTCATAAGAATGAAGAAATAATTTTTTTTTGATTTAAAATATTCTGAAGAAAACAGGACCAAAGTAACTCAGTTGAGCTATGTGGCTCATGTTTCTTTGTTTATTGTGTATGTGTATAGAGTGTTGTTTTGTTTCTCAGACAAATACTGTGTAGTATAAAAAAAACTTTTATTCTTGCATTTTAGTATTGTTTTTAATATCTTTAAAGGTCCTTGATACAAGAAAGCATTAAATTAGAGTACTATTTGTCTGTGTTATAGATAATATGCATTTTACATCTTGTAATACAACATTTTACTTTTTCGGTGAAGGGGGGTTGCTGTTATTTACCTTTGCATATGTTATTAAAGTCTGAAACTGAATTTTTAAAGAAATGCAAAAAGAGTTAAAGCATATATATTGTGTTGTATTTTCTGAGAAAAGACAGATGTTAACCATGCAGAGTT